CATTCCTGCGCAGTTAAGCTCTGTTTTAATTAGCTCTGCCTATCACACGCAAGAGTATGGGGGAGGAGATGGGTGTTTGATGTGTTACATGTTGGTTAGTACTTCAGCCTAGATGTGAAGGTACGTGATTCCATAGTCCAAGTCACTACGGCCAGCTGAGATTTCTCTGAGCAAATTACACATTAATGACTTGCTGAGACACTTCCAGCAAAAAGCTAGATGTGAGGAACTGATACTACTTATTAAAATTCCTCAAGCTTGGCTATGTATTAGATAAAAGTAACAATTTCAGAAAACAAGGATTCAGCAACATTCAAAACACATTCTTAAATGAATTCTGAAACTTGTATTATGGAAAGCATCTACACACACAAGTGTCTTCATAGTAAATGGTGCATTGTGTATGGCTAGAGTCACATTACCACAGATTAGTTTTGTGCTTTTTATAGTGATGTTAGTTCATCTGATTTCAAGTGTAAGCCTCACTTTATTTCTTATAATTTTCAAAGCTATGTGTTAAATTTTAACTGTTCCAAATGCAGCAGAGACATGTGCAAGCTCACGAACTGGTGCCAATACTGCCTTTTTAGCTGGTACCACTAGAAGAAAATATAGCCTGACTTCCAAATACTGTACTTTACCTAGAAGGATGTCAATAAAAGAAAGAAAAATGCATACACATAGGACCTATGAAAGAGAAGGCAGGGGAAGGAGGTGGTGGACAGGAAAAAAATACTTCACTGTCACTTTCATAAAAGAGCCACCTAAAAATGGTTAGGTTCTTTGGATTTAAACTCATTTACAGCTGACATTTGTATAAGACATAGTTTTACTGTGGTGAGAATGACCCTTAATTTCTGTAATATTTCACTGGACACTGTTTCACACACTTTGAAAAACAGTCATGAATCTACTTTCCTAAATTGAATTTAGGTTTTTATTTTTTTTGAATCTACCTATCTTAGAATTGCTTTATTTAAGACACAGAAGGTAATAACAGCATTACCTTCTACTACTGAGGTCTCCTCTTTCTTTTTGTCTAGCACCAGTTGTTCCATTTCTTTTCTTAGGTCTTCCTGATTCAGATTACAGGCATCAAAAGCATCGCTCACGAATTCCGATACACCTGGACTTGTGGAAATCTCTTCCTCGTCCTGTGGTAAGAAAGTTTTGCATAAGCTCATCCATAAAGGGGGAAAGGATGTCAGCAACACATGCTTCCCCTCATGTGAGTGACTGCCTTTTTAAATACAGTGAGCAAAATACCCAAACCAAATGCATTATTCTGACAACTATTTTTCTTTATAGATATTTTTCTTTAAGAGTATTTTGTGTACACACAAAAATGTTAGATAGTTGTACTGAAAATTATCTGCTTTTCAATCTAGGCTCCTTTTTGTGTTCTTTCAACAGCTTCGATTCTGTTTTTGCAATATTCAGGAACAACAATAAACTCATTAAGTAGTTTAGAACAGTACGTAAAACTAACATTAAATTTTGAGCACAATTCAGTTAAGTTTGCTACATACAAATAAGGTTAAGAGAGGACTGTTCTTTGGAAATCTTTCTAGGTTAATTTACTCCACTGCTTTTTATTGGCAAGTGGTACCTCTGCTGCTGCCAAGAGTGTTCTCTGGCACTGATTTTACAATCCAGAAATGAACAAGGGTCATTACGTGTCTAAGTTACAGGTTTCTACAGTATCAAGAAAAACTTTTCTTGCTGTGGCAATAAAATAACGCTGCTGTTGCAGCACATCATTTAGATTTCCTATATTTAAGCCTGACAACTGCTGACAAGTTGGACAGACCATGGCACACGAATACATTTTTATGAAAGTATTCCTTTGTGTCTATACGTAATGCAAATCTTCTACTCCAAACATTTTGGAAATGTCACTCTTCAGAGTAAAACCACGTTTTATTATAACATGCAGGATACTAATAAAACTATTCTTCAGATAAACTATTGTCTCTTCTACTGAAAATGCGTTTAGAGTGTATGCACTAAAAATTAATATCACAGCAGAACAGCAGCAGGTTAGGATTGTCAGACAGCATATTATGGTTTCATAGTACAACTTACTCAAAAAGATGCATAATTTCCTATTAAATAACAGTTTCACATACTAAATATCAGAGAAAGTATAACCGCATTTTTACCTCTTGAGATTTTATTTGAGGCTTTATTGTAACAGGTGGTGTTTTTGGCCGTACTGTTTCTATCAAGAAGGGAAAAAAAAGATAATTACATTTAAATATGTAAGTTCTCATTAATCAAAATCGTACTTAATCTGCATAGCTGTACAAGGAAATATTGTATTTTAAATTTTAAGGAATCCTGCTGGTTAAAAGGTTGAATTCAGCCATAGGTGAAACATTCACGACTACAAAACAGGAGAAATAATTTTCTATTCTTTATTAATGCAAATTTAGCCAACCATTTCCTCTTTACGATTCCAAAGTTAAATCACAGGAAATCCCCTGCCCTTCAAAATGATCCAAAGAATGATGTAAATAGAAACGTCTGGGAATCTGAAAGAACATCTATAAAACACTCGCAGATTGCACCCCATGTCACAAGATCTTTAAATTTACACAGGTGTAGACTTGGCCATGAGATCCAGTCACTGCCTATCACAGAAGTTCCCAAACTCCCCTGGTTGGGTACTGCTGCTGACACGGGCACTAGCTGGCCCTTAGGTCCATGAGACTACATCTGCATGCACATCCTGAAACACTCTAGAGGAGCGCTCCACAGCCTTACTTTTTTTCAACACAGGCAAGGATGTCACTGAAAAACATAAATCCTAGAACGTGTTCCCAATTTCTAAAGAAAACTCACTGGGCACTTTGTATTTAGTAGCGTGGTGGTAGAAAGACAACAATTGTTTACAGACCAGGACAGATCTTTCTCTGGGCAGGTAAAGGAACACCCCTGCTTTCTTCCTCATGCAGCCAGCAGGGTAGAGGAGTCACAATAAAGAGCCAGGTGGCTGCGAGAAAATTAACATACAGGGCAGGCTGTGGTGGTGCCGGAGTACTAGCTTAGCGGTTCTATTTGTTTAAACAGGCAAAGCAGCTCTGAGCTCACAGCTCTGCTGACTGCGGCATGCCCAGGTAGATCCTTCCGTCTTACTCAGCAATTTCTGAAGGGGGAAGTTTCTCAGGTTTCATTTTTAAAATCAGGATCAGTTCTAATTAAAACAATGGCCCTAACTGGTAGCCGTCACTGCTTATACAGCTTAAATACTCAATATCCACTGCTCTGTCCCATCCTCTCTCTTCCTCCCCAGTCTTCAGAGGATCTGTTACTGCACCCAGCACCACAGCCAAAGAGGTTCCAGCTCTCTGTGCTCGGGGAGGCTGTAGAATAGGGCGCTAAGTCCTCGCTGTTCTGCGCTGAGCGCGCAAAGCACCGCGCAGGAGAGGTGCCTCAAGCTCCATCTGCTGCTCTCCTGCAGAAGCAGCAGCCCTGCAGCTCTGTGCTGGGCCACGCACCAGTCTGATGTGACTAATACACCATCAGCACTGTTCTGGATCTACTGGCCTGGCAGCATCTCCACTGCTGCTCTGCTCTCTGCCCCAGCGGGAACTTCATTCCCAAATAAATAGTTACTAACATCTAATATCTGGAAAAGGACTTGAACTTGGCATTTTGCTATAGATCTACATATTCTCTGTGCTAGAGCATGGAATGTCTTCCATTTGTCCCTTATTTTTATCTTTTCCATCAACTATACTAGTTTAACTTTGTGAAAACAACAGTTAAGGAGGAGACAGATAGAGATAAAAATGGAAGGCAATTAATTCTATTTTATAGACAGCAGTCAGCTTTAAGAAGAAACTGAGCATTATTAAGTTACCAACAAGAAATTACTTCCAGTTTTAGCCTCCAATTAGAAAATCCAACCTTCAAAAAGATTATTTTAATCAAAAATAGCACAGAACTTCCTAAATCTAAGAAATTTTCAGATCAAACATGTATTTACTACAGTCTGGTAAATGTACCTTTGCCATTACAGAATATATAAAGTCATTATAAAAGTAAATCTATCTGTATATCCTACACTGGACTTCAGTATTGTATGAGATCTGCAACAGGCTAAGAGACAGCGCTGTTTTGATTTTTATTTTTTTTAATGAAGATATGCTTTGCTTTCAGTCACAATGGTAATTTCACTGGAATAACTCTTTGAGTGTTATCCAGCAACTTTATCCTTGAGTGATAAATTTCAAGGGTTTGTATGACTCAAAGATAACGCTTTTGTTGTTCAATAGGGCCAGTTACCATCTTTCCTGTCAAGCTATGACACTTAAACCAGCCATAGTTTGGCAAATGCAAGTACTGTATTGATAAAAAAAAAAGTTATGCTGCCCGACGAACTTAGTTTAAGGGTGCCCATTTAACTACATAATTAGTTTGCATAAAGGAAGTCTTCAGCACTGTAGTTAATGATAGAGTTACTTCTATCTGACTAGCCCGTCAGCCCCAACAGTAGAACCGTTCTTCCCCTGAAATTGGTTTACTGAAGCAATGATTTGCAGAAACAGAAATCAAACAAAGGGCTCAGTGGAAAGGGGAAGCATACTGAAAGTAAACAGATTTCACAACACTGAAGAAAGTATCTTCTATCTGTTTCTTATCTTTCCAAACACAACCTTTTCCTCTATACAAAGGACAAAATGCAGTAGCAAATGAAAGGATTCAATACTCAGAAAATCTCATGAGGCACTACAAAAACCAGAAGATAGTCACTACTCTTAAGAGTGTATAATATAATCCTGTCAGTTGGTGTAATAAAAACCCCAGAGAAACCGAAATTAAAAAAGATTAAAAAATAAGAAATCACAACAATAAAGAAATCCACGAAAGAAAGAAAGAAAATTAGATAAATGCATTTTGATGCCAGTTAGATGGAAAGATTTATGAAATCACAACAACCTGCACAGGGCACCTGCACAGGGTAACGGTGAACACAATTGACTCTTAGAAAATGACAAAACTGGGAACTGAATATAGTAGGAGTGTACAAGTGACTTGACATGAAAAGGTGAGTAGGAAAAGTGCCTAAAACCAGTCTGCACTGAAAGATAAACAAAAAAGCTTTCTGTTATGATGGAATAGTTAGTGTAGGACATTTAAGAGTAGCTCTTTTACATGACTAGAAAAATTAAATTAAGTCAGCTTCCACAAAACTGACCAGTTGTTTCTCCATATAATCACATTTCCTCTATTGCTCTTCTGTTTCTACAGAAAGAATATGCTCACAAAACTATGAAAATAGTAGGAATATTCACTATCATGTAACTCTTAACTTCAGTTTTTAACCTGCATGCATGTTAAATTAAAGGTCCAGAAAAAAACACCAAACCACACAAATTCTGTACTCCTTTGCTTAAAACATTCTTCTGAACTACAGTGAGCAGAAGAATGACATCATTGTAGTAAACACATAAATCACATTGGGCTATTTCTATCCTGTCTTTATTGATCTTGCCAGGGAGGTAACTCCGGTCCCTACAGCCCACTAGTGTGTGCTGCTAGTAGTTACTCTCTTCAAAGGCTACCATGCGCTCAGGGCACATGGCCTGGGCTCACTTGCATAGATTTCACCTAGAACTCCTCTGTGCTCCATGTAACATGCTCAAGTGAGGCCATGACTTGTTTTTTTAAGTTTACAAAGCCTGAAATAGCATGGCTAGTGTTTCTGTGATCGATAACATGCTTGCTCAACATTGGGACACGCTGCAATGTTTGACTGCGTACATCCCATTGGGACAGCAGACAACTGTCCTGGATAAAAAAAAAGTCAGAATTGGCATTTGTTGGTCTGCAAGAACGAACTGTCCTGTCAGCATTGCTTGTTTTTTAACTAAGAGAAAATGACTTTGTTCATTCTAGATGAGGATCTTGCCTGTGCTAATACACAGGCACTCTGAACGGAACCTGTGGAAAAGAGACAAGCTGATGGCAAAGGCATACACACAAAGAAAAAGCTTGAGGAAACTACCACAGTCCTTTTGAAAAGGTATCTTCTAATCAACATGCCAGCCCAGCTCTGTAATTTCCTTTGTAACCTCCCGTTCCCCTCAAGGCTCAGCTGCCTGTGTCCAAGAAGCCAAGGCCCAGATGAGGAATCTTAGTTCAGACTGTGCAGAAAACCACTAAGTTGTGCAAAAGGTCTTTGAGAAAGTTGGTAGAAAGACGCTGTTAGATGCAATTAGAAACTGAGGTAGGAGTAGAAAGATGGGGTCATTAGGAGTGCAAGGACTCAGGAGGAAAGACACTGATATGGTTATTATAGTCAAAAGGGGGGAAAAAGAAGTCAACTTGGCAGTGATTAGTTGGTTGTCAGTCAGGCCAGCAGTGTCAACAGCACATAAGCATTAACTGATTTCATGGACGATGACAATTTATTGATGCTGGGGATTTAAGAATCTGTTCCAAGCTGCTATGAAGTCTCTCTCCTAATTAGGCATGCTGCCTAATACCTACCTAGCCTGCCAAGATTCTTCAGGTGGTAAGCATATCTATCTCAAGCTAAGATTTAATGAGTTCCTAGTTATCTTTTGTGTCTTCCCCAGGAACTGCTTTATACTCTTCAAGCTGCGTATATTCCTGCCTGTAGATTTTTTTTTTTTGCATGCAGGTAGATGCCTAGTGGTTCATAAGAGGGTCAGTAAGAATCATCTGTATAACCTGATCAATATAACTGAACATGCCTATGTTGAAGTGGCTTTTTCATCTCAAGGTTGAATCCCAGGTAGCCTCCTGGTCCCCATCTTCCTCCATTTCCGTAATACATTTTGGGCTTTCTCACATCCTGCATGTGTGGCTGCCCCTGACACCACAGTAATTCTATCCCTGTGTCACTCACTAACTTCTCTTTAGCCTGAGACCTAAGCAAAAGCCAAGAGCAAATCATATGCCAGCTGGCTGAGTTGTCTAGTACGTGTTGTCTTATATCAGGTGAACCAAAGGTACCTCTTACTTCTTGACAGCTCAAAAAAGCACACCGGAGACCACTAGTGGTTGTAACCTGTTACAAGCCAAGTACAAAACTTAATCTATTGAGACTTCCAATATTTTGACAGTCTTGGCTGAAACTGGAAAATGAATTAAAAGCACTAGGAGCCTCCTCCTGCCCCATCCAGACAAACACAACAAGTATGATTTCATAGGAAATCCAAGATAAAAATTCGATGTCGTCAGATGTATACAGTCAGTATGCATGATGCTAATTTAACGAATTGTGCTAAACCAAATCCCTTTCATACCTTTCAGTTGACTGTCATCATCTCTACTTTTGTTCTCTTCTTTTCCTACTGCTTGCTGTTGAGCTGCAAGAGCAGTGAGTTGTGCAGACTGTTTAATTAAGGACACCCTGTAGAAATAATTTCTCCAGAACACCTCCTCCTTGACACTAGAAAGAACAAACATATTTGGATTACTACATTTGGAAATATGTTTCCTTTTACCATCTAGCAACAAAATAAAACGAAATATGCAGAAGGAAGGAGCAGACATAGCTGACATTTAAGTAAAAACGTAGAAGAAATTTGTGATATTAACACAGTTTAAAAAATAAATAAATCCATCATTGTAGCTCTTTACCTCTTACAGGACAGTTACAATGGGCTTGTAATAATGATAATAATGATAACAATAATGATGATAATATTATGTCTTTAGAAAAAGCTGAACAGCATGCAGCAGTACATAATTTGAAAAAATACTATGCTGTTCAACCTCTCTTGCCAAATTTAAACAAATCCAACAAGCTAAATAACCCTGTTTCTTCACTTCTGTAAAACCATCATTTTATCATTGTCAAACTATATTCATCTCCATGTTTCTTAGACCTTGGGTGGAACTGGAACATCTTTGATCTATAGGCAGAGGCCATTCCTAGATTGCAGCAGAATGATTTCACTTTCTGTGCATTTTTCAGTATGTTTGCAGGACCTTCAGTAACCGGAAACTGTCATCTTGGATGTGACTAGCTCTAGTAAGTGGGAGACCATCTCATTTCTTGAGTAATATTTCCCCTCTGATAAGCCTTCAGCAAGCAAGAAAAGACCCAGCATTAACCTAGAGGCAAAAGAAGCCAGAAATGGCAAGACCCATGGGGAGGAAGGTGTGTAGGTTAAGAAAGAAAGCAAGAAGAGAGCGAAGTTACCTTCCTGCCCATCCACACAAACAGTGACTACTGAGACTAAGAACAGGAAAAAAACAATCCCAAACTCTTAAGCAGTGTGGTAGAATAGGCAAGGATCGCATGACAGAGGCTGAAGACAAAGCATCGCAGACATCTGATAAAGACCTAGAATATGGGCAGAGCTTTGGGACTTAAGCAGCAAAGAACAGCAGAAAAGGGGGTAAATAAAATGAGGAGCTGGGAAGGTTTAAAAAAGGAGGAGTTAGAAAAGTTCACAAACATTTTCTTTCCTGTTTCAGTTCTTAGACAATGAGATCAATATCGGGAACTACTGCTTAAGAAGAACATTGACCTGTGAAACAAGCTTTGGTAGCAGAGTCTGGGACAGGACAAGGAACGAGGAGAGCACTGGAAGAAAGCTGGAATCAAGCAGCTGTACTGGAACAGCCCATAACTGCCAGGACAAAGACCTTGTGGATCTTTTAGTAAGGCCCACTAGAAGGAAAGCAGTCACAACACAAAACTTTTCCTACTGCCTATGCAAAACTAGTTATTCTTGGTTGCATTGCTGCTGTTCTGTGGTGCATCCTTTTACCACTTCTCCTGGGGGCCTCTGACTATCTCTAATAATATTTTTGGGTTATCAGTCACATCGACAGACCTGAACATATTTGTTGCAGCATTTACCTTTGAGAAGATTTTCAATTAATTTAGCACATTGGACATGGAAAAATTTAAGGCCTCTCCCACACTTAAGTCAAGAGGTCCTTATTAGTACTGAATGTCAAATAAATCTACTTCTGTTCTTTCCTGCAATTGCTAAACCACAATGCATGTACAATATTCCATGCATCTGAAAACATCAGATATAAAATACATACAGAGGAAGTACATAAAGAAAGAATTCGAGGAAGTGAAAGGAAAAGAAGTAATATATGAATTTTACAGACATGTTAAAAGTACAAGGATACACAGTTAATCAGCAGAAATTACTTACTGTTTGGGAACGAGATCAAACCTCATCCTGTTGAGAAGTTCATCCTCCTGTAACATCACCATTGCAACAGGGTACATTTGATCAAAGTCAAAATTAAACTGCACACCTGCTGGAGGATCCCGCAGAAAGTTTCTTTTATCCTTTGAAGAAAATATTTATGGTCATTAACTGATATCAGAAAAAGGACATCATTTTTCACACACAAGACCAGCAAAGCCAGTTCACTTCCCACATAATTCTATCATACTGCAAAGCAGTTAAGCCTTTGTAAAAGTGAAAAAATATACTGGTGAACTACTTTAGCTCAAGTTGATACTGAAAGAACTCTTTACTCCTGCACACGACCAGTGCAGTGACAGACACATTAAAAATAATACATTCAAAATATATAATTTAATAGTGCCAGCCCAAATTTACTTGGAAAAGAGAAAGTTTTAACCTCTCCAAAAGAAAACTTTAAAATCTTACAGGGAACTCAGTACTTACTGCTGACAAGGCCAGTATTTGTTGTTGAATTGTCTCTTCTTCATTGCTGTCTACCCAGGGAGGCACTGCTGCTTCTGTTATTGAAAGGAGGAAAATAATTGCATGTGTATTGCTTTAAAAATACAACAAAAAAGCACCTTACATGGAGTAACATATAATGTCACAATATTAACCAGACTTACACCGGTAAGCCAATTCATTGTTCCTTTTTCCTAAACTCAGCTTATGGAGTAAGAAGGAAACTCTAAGAAAGGTTATCTGCTTAACAGAGGTAACAAAAAAAATCAATAGCTGCTGATATCTGTTACTGTAAAACTAAAACTGTGGGGATTTCTTTGCAGTGTGTACCAGCCAGAACTTTGTGCCTCTTGGCTTAGTTACTGAAGTAATGCTGTATAACTGGTTAAGCCGCCTGCAAAGAGAAATTTCTAGATTTACTTTAAACACATAAACTTTGTCTAAACTTAGTTTTCAAAATCATCTACTACTGTATTAATTTTATAACACCCAGAAGACACCAATTCTTTAACAATGGAGAAAAATAAGTTATAAATTATGTTATACACTGAATAAGCATACCTGAGTCCAGCTGATTTATATATTTGCACAGATACTTCCAAAAAAGTTTTGTACTTGTACATTGAAGAAAATAAACTATTGTAGACATATAGAAATCTATTAATCTCTTCATTGTCAATGCAAATTCATCCTATAGAGACATTTTGATGCATCTATAACTGTTACCAAATAATTCTTGTGCATTTAAACCAATAATACGTATGCAAACTAGCATTTGCCTATGCACCATCTTTCACCCACATGGACTCACATCTGATGCTAATGCTTCTTGCAGTTAGGCCATCTGTTACTCCTTCTTTTGCCAAACAAGCTACCTATTTTCATGAAACTTGCAGAAATATAGTCACAGATGCCAAAATTTACTGGCAAAACGACAGAAATACAGAAAATGTAGTCACATAAACAGTCCTGCAAGAAGAAACCAGACTAATACACTAACTACAGACAGTATGAAAAATTTTATCACAATCCATTTAAAACCAGGTCATTTTCAAGATAAACAACTGAGCCACTAGTTATTCAAGCTGGCAGAAATTAATGCTTCAGGTAACATACTAAAGGAGATAAAAGCCAATGATGAAACACAACGTAAAAAAAAATAGCCCTTATTTAAAGTCTCAAATAGATCCACTGATGACAACAGTACATGGGTGGATAACTCAAAGGATTTAGAACACAGATAATTATAAAGCAAATGATTTATGGGAAAAGCAAAAGAGAAATTTTGCCTTTAATGTAAGCACAGCAACTCCTATAGTGCAACTAATTAAATACTGTAGTGCAAACCCTAACCCATATTTTTAATTTCATTACGAAAATATGACATGGTTGCTAAAGCTCAGAAGAAATCAGCATGCCTGTTTTCAATACACAACCTTAAGATTCAAAACAACTATAAGAGATCAGCTTTGCTAACAAAGTGATCTTTGAGTTAATTCCATAAAGCTGAATTTGGTCAAAAAAGCGAATCTAAACCAACTAGGCAATGTAACACTACCCTTACTTAAAAATGTCATCCTCCTATTCCACAGTGGATGTTAAGTTCTGTCATAGTGTCTTTCACTAAGCAGAGTTCTGATAGATTATTTTTAGATATACCTCAATTATCTAGCTTCCAACAAGTTTTAGTTTATAGAATGTTATGGATTATCAAAAAAACAACTCACAGATTACCTGATTTTTTTGTTTGCTGCTCTTGGACAAACTTTTTCTGTTCCTTCTGAAAATCTCCAATAATTGTCTAAAATAAAAATTAGGGAATAACAATTAAAAATATACACTCCTCTTGTTTTATGTTCTCTCAAAAAATGTTTTCAAATACACTGCAAGTCCTTATATCACTATTGACACTTTTTACAAGTTAAAGGTATTTCATATAAATCCTACTTTCCCCTTTAGCAAAGTATTGAATTTTGCCTTCAAAAGTTTAAACTATTATGTACGCTTTCAAAATTATATCTATAGTTTTATTAAGTTCAGGGGATGGGGAAAAAACCCTAAGTCCTAGCTGATAATCTGAACATCAACATATCATGCATATACTTACCACCTTACCATATCAAATACAGACAATATAGACTGTTTGGACTTAATTAAACATGTTTTTAAAACATCAAACACTTAAAGATACTCTTGGCTTTATACTAAGTTTCAAGAGTTGCCTAAGAAATTTCAACGAATTGGACTTGTAAAAGTGTTAATTTACCAGAACTGCTAATTCTGATTTTCAGAATGTCTCCTTAGCTGAAATAAAATCACTTGCCATTTATGTTGACAAATTTTCTTCAAAAGTATGTTCAGAAATATCCTATATTGAACTTAGAGTTCCAAAAAAAAAAAAAAAAAAAGAATGGTCTCAGGAGATGCCACAATCAAGAAGCAACAATGCCAATGTTCTGCAGTTGAAAGCAGCAGCAAAACCCCACAAAGCTAGAAATGAATATTTAAATCACTCACAAAACCCAAATTTCAAGCAGTGAGGTCTGTGGCATAACAAGCTGCCAAAAAGCCTGAAAGTCTTCAAGCTGAATCCCTAATTTTTTTTTTTTCCTTCATTAACCAGCATTTCAGCATAAGATTAACATCAGTGAGAGAACTACTGTATAGTGTTTGTTTTACAAATAGATAATTGTGTTTTTTCCTGGTTTTAAGTTATATGAATTTTTGGTATTTATGAAATAAAATAATTTATACAGTATAAGAAAAAAAGCTTTACAATGACATAGCTATAATCCTGTTTATCCCATATGTAAACTTTTAGTCAAAACATGGAATTCCTGTTACTCTAGGGCACACAGAAAAAAAGAAAACGGTGGTTTAGGCATATGCTGTAGGTACTTAGCTACAGTTTCTTATGAGCATTATTATTTGGGTATTAAATTAGCTAATAACATTTTCATTCTTCCTTTTTGATGTGGATCAAAACTACACATTAGACTCTAATATACTGTAGTACGAAATAAAACTGTGCTATTATAAATAAATGATTGTCACTAAAAGGTCAATGAAATCAAGAGACGAAAATCGATCATAACAGAAATTGAGAAGTGTCATTTGATGATTAATTTGGAAGACAACATGAACACTAATTCTGTCAAGAAATTGAATATCATTGCACTAAAAAAAAAAAAAGACTGCTTTAGTCCTTCAAACGGGGTGTTCGCGAGACAGGTGCAGGAACAGGGGTGACACCCCTGTGTGTACAGTCCCACTACATCTGGGTTGGGCCCTTTCCCTTCCCCTCCAAGCTCCCCCTGTTAACAAACACACAACACTACATAGCTGCCTGGTTTTTTCCCTCCTTTCTGCCAAGTTTGTGACAATGCACTAGAAGAACACTTGCTGGCAGAAGTTAAGCCACTGGAGCTGGCAGCCAGGAATGGGGAGGTCAAGAGGCAAGTAGCAGCATCAGCGTGGGGGAAAGAACAGGAAAACAGTAAACTGTTTCATTAACTCACTGGGTCTTATGAAATCACACCTGTATAGCTCTAGGCTCATAGTATACAATATCCACAAAGCTGACCTAATTCTGAGTCTTGCCTCAGAGATGTACTTAAGATGCAGGATACAGCATTCCTCTTTTCACCTTAATAAACTGGGGGGAAAAAACTCAACCCACAAATCTCCCAGACATCCCCCAACTGCCCATCTCCACTAATTCTTCCAGCCTTTCCTTCTATGTCAGCATTTTTTATCTCTTCTTCTGGATTATTTTCAGTGTATCTACACCCTGAAGGAAAAAAACACAGGTGCAGTAATGAGTGAAGCAAAGTGCCCATTTTTTGGCATATCACTTCAGTCACGTCATTTATTGTGACAGGAGATATCTACTCTTGAAATAACATAATTCGTAAAGCCAGCTAAAGGAAATGTTAGCACATGCCAGATTTGTCACATTATAACAACAGTAAGCAAGCATCTCTCATATCAGGTATCTGGAAATAAAATACCTTATCAATGATACTGTCGATTTTTCCTTCTTCTACAGACTTCTTTATTGTCTGTGCTGTTTCGGCAACAGATTCAGATATCTTTTTTGTAGCAGCAGTGGCAAAATTGAAGAGGTAACCTTTCACAAACGAGAAGAGAAAGACCTGAAAAAATCCATCTCTTTACATCCAATTCTCTTTCTGGACTTATTTTCCTGTCTCTTTAGACGTTTGGATACTGCCTTGAAAGCTTCTTTCAAAATCATTTAAGCCAATTCTGGCCTGCAAAAAATCTCGAAACCCTATTTATCCTTTTCTAGTTCATTATCTCTAGTGATGATGAAGAAACTGGATATCTGATCACACCTTTCTGTAAATCAAACCTTTGCATATGAAGTTTGTTTACTAAATCATTCCTAATGGTCCTTCAAATATTGCTTTCCGATGAATATTCTAAAGCCACGTCTCCTAATTTAAGTATTTCAGAGACATCAAGCAATAACGTAATTTTAAGCACCAGCATTAAAACAGAATTATAAATTTTTAAGAAAATCAACACGCATAATAAAGCCTCATGAAGGAAGGCAGCAAATGCATGAAGAATTTCAGTCTAGAGATTCCTTAAAAATTCCTAAGATAAAAGCTTGCCCTTGGTATTAAACCTTTTCAATTTTGAATTGTCTTCCACTTTTTCAGCATGAGATGCACTGTGGCTCTGCTTGCTTATTTTTCTGAATATGAAATACTAACTAGCATTTTTTATATTAGTGCTGAAGTGAAGAAAGGTGGCAGGGAGAGAACTATGTACCACAAGCAGTTGCATTGTATTGTTTGTTTCTAACTAAGGAGAAAAAACTTGCAAGCAGCAAGATGTGCATCACAAGCCTTCAGAAACACTACATATCAGTTTATTGACAAAACATCTTAAAATAACATTGTTATGTAGTTCTCAGGTAAGGACATGATGTCACGAGCACTTTATTAGATTTGAACAGTGGTAATATGAATATAATATCACAGTTATGATATATACAATGATAAAACACCAGTAAGTGCCATAGTAAATATCACAGAATCATAGAATGGCCTAGGCTGGAAGGGACCTTAGAGATCATTTAATCCAACCTCCCTGTCATGGGAAGGGATGCCACCTCTCAACTAGATCAGTATGATAATATAAAGACTGCAGAGGGATCTAGATAGGTTGGAGGATTGGGCAATCAGTGACAGCATGAAAATTAATATGAATAAATGCCAGATTCTGCACCTGAGATGGAGTAACACCAAGCACAAGCATAAATAAGCAGAGGGCTGGCTGGCAAGCAGCCCTGCAGAAGGGGGTCTGGGGGTGCTGGTGAGCAGCAGGCTCAGAACGAGCCAGCCATGTGCCCTGGCAGTCAAGAGGCCAAACCCCATCCTGGGTTGTGTCAACCACAGCACGACCAGTCAGTCAAGAGAGGCATTATCCTGCTATACTCAGCACTGGTGTGGCTTCACCTTGAGCACCGGCTGCAGTTTGTGTCCCACCAGTTAAGGATGTGAAGGTCCTCGAACACATTCAGAAGAGGCCAACAAAGCTGGTGAAAAGGCTGGAAGGAATGTCCTATCAGGAGCAGCTGAGGCCTCTGAGCTTGTCTAGTTTGGAGAAAAGGAGGCTGAAGGGTGACCTCGTTGCTCTCTGCAGCTTCCTGAGGAAGGGAAGTGGAGAGGGAGGTGCTGAGCTCTTCTCCCTGGGATCCAGTGACAGCACACATAGCAATGGTTGAAAGCTGCGCCGGGGAGGTTTAGACTAGACATCAGGAAACATTTCTTTATGGAGGGTTGTCAAACACTGCAACAGACTTCCTAGAGAGGTGGCTGATGCCTTAAACCTGTCAGTGTTCAAGAGGCATTTGAGCAACACCCTTAATAATATGCTTTAACTTCTGGTCAGCCCTGAAGTGGTTAGGCAGTGGGACTAGATGACTGTAGTTCCCCTCCAATGGAAACAGTCTATTCTAATTCTAGTATTAGAAGTAGTAATGGCGCATCTAAACTGCGTAATAACTATCAAAGATATATCTGAGGCACTAGCAAGAATGCAAAGCATGTGGGATGGTAAGAATATTTTGGTTATGCCAGAAAATTTACTTTGACTTTTATATAGGGAAATTCAAAAAACCTCAGCATATCTGTTTCAAACAAAAAAAACCCCACCTTCCTTCTCAAGACCTCACAGAAATTCCAGTTCCCTTATTGGCTAGAAATGTAAGAAATAACATTCCCATTAAAAAAAAAAAAAAAAAGTGAGTTGTCTTAACAAAGTTCCTAGCTGCTAGCCACCGGTAGAACGATTTACTTTGGAACATTCCTGCCATCTTTGCGAAAGCTGACTGTACTTTGTGGTGTATAAAACATTCTCTTTATGATATCACCAAATCAATACTGAAATATGCAGAGGTCTAGCCAGCCCTTAAACAAGATAGTTTTTTATATGTAACTTCTGTTTACAAGGAAAAAAACAGTGGGAACTAAACCTCCTTCAAGTACTTGCTAGCATCTTTCATACCTATTATCAGGCTTTACAACCCATCACACCGCAGAAAAAAAATGCCTATCTTTTGCACCTCAGGTATAGACATGTATCCCATCCTCCTTATGACAGCAGAGGAAGCAGCCTACTGAATTGTTTCCTCCCTACCAACCTTTTTTTGTTGTTGTTGTTGGGGTTTTTTTAATGTATGTCCTCCCTACCAACCTTTTTTTGTTGTTGTTGGGGTTTTTTTAATGTATCCATGGAAACCTTCTCATATGCAATTGTTTCAGGTGCAAACGATGCTGAATCATTTGCTGTCCAGTGATGTTTTGGCATTGTTGAGCTAAGTGGTTTTAGTGAGTCCTGGAACCAGTCTCAGGAGCAAAATGCTTTTTATTTTCATTAAGAATAAATTCTTCTGAACTATAGCACTTATAAGATCTCAATAAAAGGTGGTACTCAGCCTTAGAAAAATAGAATTAGTGATGGAAAACAACACTTCCATTTTCAAATAAAAAAGAAACTCTTCCTCTTCCTTACAAATCTATGCCTCTATTAAGAATATCTATCTTGTAATATTTCTATTATTAGTTCGCATTGACAAACTCTCCTAACCTTTGTAAAGATGTGGTAATGACTAATAAATGATGTTTGTAAGGCTTCATTGTACCAGTAAATTTTATGTGCTTTTTAAGTCCTCCACATACCTACCCTGGTTGTGGAGTCATGCAGATGTTTCTACAGCTTTCATGTGTTAAAACAGTGACATCCAAATCCTTACAAAAAAGCCTTTCCACCACAATCTTCCCTAGTGTCACTGACAATGAATATGTGGATCACTAAACCAAATCCTCACTTCCAGAGCAAATTATGGTATGGATCTTTATATCTGTAACAGTCAGTATTTAGTCTTCCCCTGAAATTCAAAGTCTTCCTTCCTTCCTGATCAGTAACTACTACATTAGGATCAATTTGCAATAGCCAGAGCAGTATTTGACCAAACTAAGCAGATAAACTTCTGCAGCTCAGATAGCCCAAGGCAAAACACAGTAAAGAACCATCTTACATCAACCTTTCAGACTATATTGATCCGATATTTCAGAGCACCAGTAAAAAAACCCAACCTGCTTTAGCAACAAGTATGGAACTGTACTTTAGATTAATTTTACCTAAGAAACTATTTTAGTAAAGCAGAATTTTTACCTGCAGCTAGTTACAGCCTTGTCTCATTACAGAGTTCAGCAAAATCAAACCCCATTACTTTTCCTACAAAAAAATCAGAGAAACCCCATGCTAACTCATAAAGTATGTTATTTTATATTTAAACATCATTCCTCCCACAATGACAACAGAAGAGATAGCTAAAGAAATACTGTTCACTTAGTACCAATTCTGAGAAATACGATTACTGAAAGGAACATCTGCAGCCATTTACTTGCTTCATATTTTAAACATCTAAGCTTTTTCAAAAATTTTTTTTGATTTCCAGTGAGGCAACATTCTTTTAACAGTGCACGAAATTGTTAACAACTCAATAAAATATTTCTTATTGCCCGTAACTGCTATTTAAAAGGGATCTATGAAATGCAGAAAAACGAAGACGAAATTAAAGAATTATGTCACTTCCAGACTTCCAGCTTTATCATTTGCATAGGATTGTTCCAGAACTGTAGAAGAGACTGGAAAAGCTATATGAAAAACTCAATCTTGTGAAATACATGGTAGTTATGCATGCTGTAAACTGCAGTTAACAGACATGATTTAGAAGAGATGCAAAACTAGGATATATGAAAACATATAATAGAAAAGCGTAAGAAACAATGACTTTTAAAACTCTTCATCAATATAATTTTCCATACTAGCTAACCTAAGCAGAATTACCCTTTACATCTGAAAATATATGGTTTGGGGTTGTTTTTTTTTTAAAAAGAATCATCAGGTCACCTCACAGACTTGTGTTCCCCATTTTCCATCACTGTGCAAGCTATGTTGGAGTTGTTGCTATCTAGATGAGAAGCGATTTTTCTTTCACATTTGTTGAACTGAGAATAAACATGCTTAACTCATCTTAAAACGTATCTATAATTGTTCAGCTCAACTAAAGCTTTGGTTTAAGTGCCAATGATGAGTACTAGGAAATCCCCCTCTGCGCTACCTTGCCTCCCCCAGCTGCTTCTCTCATTACACTAAAGAAAGCTTTGCTGCTATCTTCTTTACGAAAAACGCTTCGAACGAGTGCAACTGTTCTTTTACTCAGGCCTTTTCCCTGCATGAAGGCCCTTGGCCGCGATGGGTGTGTGTGGAGCCTCGCAGCTCCCCGTTAGGGCCCAGAGCACCGTGGGGCAGCGGAGCGGAGGCGGCGGGGGCAGTTCGGCCGCAGGGAGCTTTCCGGCCAGGTGCAGGCGTGCCCCGCGAATGGCGGTGTTAGGGGGCCTCCCTC